GCTTGTGGGATGCTTGGGGGTCGAGAGGTTGTCCGTCAGGGGTGCCCAGCAGCAGTTCTCTGGAAGTCCAGGAAGGCTGGAGCAGGCTGCCGGAAGGGAGGAGAACCTGTTGTGTAAAGAGCCACTGACACTCGAGGGCTGCGCATTCTCGGTTCCTGTATCCCTCCCTCCCTGTAACCACACCCCTGCTCCCATCCACCTGCTCCTGCCGGTACAGATGCTCGCCTGCCGAGCATCCCCCCTTCCTCCTCCTCGGCGCACGGGCTCTGGGATCCGTCACGTTTTTACTGATTTTAAAAGTAATACACACGTAAGCTAAAGCAGAGTCTAAGCTGCCAAGGGAAGGGAAACGGGAATAGGACTCCTGATGCTGGTTCTTCCAGTCTGATCCCTTTCGTGCAAAGAATTCAGAACAAGGCTTGCTGACAGACCAGTTTTCAATGAGGACAGAAGAAAGACAGAGTGTGTGGTAGGCACCGACCCCACGGGCTGCCGGGCAGGGAGATAGCAGCGAGCGTCTCTCCCACTCACTGGGGTTGCGAGACCACAGCAGGTGTTGAAGGTCGGAAAAGTCTGGGTCCCGCCGTGACCTGAACGGTGTCTCAGCCTTTCATTGCTTTGCTGTAGAGTGAGCCTGAGAGATCTGGTAGGTTCTGACTTTCGACAGGTTTCCTGCGCACAGTGACCAGAGCAGAAAGGTTGTGCGAGGCGGGCTTCATGTGTATCCTAATTCCAATAAACCAACCGTGACAATATTTTTTTGAAGAGTTGAGAAAATTTAACTATTACAACATATTAAATTACTATTAAGTTAAAAATTATTACTAATTTTAGGTCTTGCTAGGTAGTACAAAAACCTTACTGACAAGCTGAGGTAGTCAGGGGAAAATGTCACGCTGTCTTTGACTTACTTTTAAATACACCGTGGCAAAGAATAGACAAAACCCATATGGCAAATTGTTAATCATTAACTTCATGTTAATTCTATTAATATTCTCCTCTATTAATATTCTGTTACTATTCTCCACTTCTGTGTGTGTTTGAACATTTCCGGAAGAAACCCATTTTAAGTTCTGGGCACTCTGTGAGGTACCTTGCTCAACCACCCTGGTATTATTCCCATTTTGCAGATGAGGGAACTAGGCTTACAGGTTAGATTTTTTTTTTTAAAGATTTTATTTATTTATTTTAGAGCACATGCGAGAGAGCATGGGTCAGGGGAGGGGTGGGGGAAGGGAGGGGCTGGATCTCACAACCCTGAGACCACGACCTGGGCTGAAACCAAGAATTGGACCCCTAACTGACTGAGCCACCTAGGCGCCCTGGTGAGATATTTTGTCTCATGTTGTAAGACTTTGGTTGTAGAACTGGCATTTAAACTCAAGTCTCTGAGCCCAGTGTGCCTGCTTTCAACCTCACAGCTGGGCTTGGTTGTAAGCTGGCTTGATGGGATGAGTCTCAAACACTTCTCTATTCCAGACGTGCCCTCTCTGCTCACTTCTAGCTAACTATCCCATCACTCCAGGGATTTAAATTACCATGGAGTGCCTCATACTTCCAGTGGTAAATGGGAGATGAGTAATTGTAAAAGCCGCCTTCAGTGCAGAGCTAGAAGATGTTCTGTATATTAAATTTTCTCCTGTGTGTTTCCTATTCTGAAATCATATCAAATCCTTATCTTTTTTGTTTTCACTTAAAAATAACTATCTTTTGGGGCGCCTGGGTGGCTCAGTCGTTAAGCGTCTGCCTGCGGCTCGGGTCATGATCCCAGGGTCCTGGGATCGAGCCCCACATCGGGCTCCCTGCTCCATGGGGAGCCTGCTTCTCCCTCTCCCACTCCCTCTGCTTGTATTCCCCTCTCTCGCTATGTCTCTCTCTGTCAAATAAATAAAATCTTCAAAAAAAAAATAATTATCTTTTTTAAAACCTTAGAAGTACGTGGAGATGTATTTCTTCTTTCTAAGAAGTACATTTACTTGAATTTCTTTTTGGTATCTCTAAAAATGCTTTTATTGTTGCAGGCAGACATCTGGTCCCTGGGCATAACAGCCATCGAGCTCGCAAAAGGGGAGCCCCCTCATTCCGAGCTGCATCCCATGAAGGTTTTATTCCTCATTCCAAAGAACAACCCCCCCACGCTGGAAGGAAACTACAGCAAACCCCTCAAGGAGTTTGTTGAAGCCTGTTTGAATAAGGAGCCAAGCTTTGTGAGTTTCTTGAGCTCGGGGTGGGCGTCTCTTTCTGTGTGGCCAGACTTGGTCTAGACCCATCTCATTGGAATTTCTTTAGTCACTCTTACCATAGTCATTATTGTCCTCAAGATCTCGTTATGTTTTGTTTTTTCTTTGGGGGGGATGGCTGGGGGCAAAGGGAGAGGGTGAAGCAGATTCCCTGCTGAGTGGGGAGCCTGACTTGCGGCTCCATCCTAGGACCCTGAGATCATGACCTAAGCTGAAGGCAGACACTTAACTGACTGAACCACCCAGGCACCCTGCTGAAGTTTTTATTGTTTTTTTTTTTTTTTTAAATATTTTATTTATTTGACAGAGACACAGTGAGAGAGGGAACACAAGCAGGGGGAGTGGGAGAGGGAGAAGCAGGCTTCCCGCGGAGCAGGGAGCCCAATGTGGGGCTTGATCCCAGGACCCTGAGATCACGACCTGAGCCGAAGGCAGATGCTTAACGACTGAGCCACCCTGTTTAACAGGCGCCCCTGTTTTATCTTTTAAGAAACAAATCTAGGGCGCCTGGGTGGCTCAGTTGGTTAAGCGACTGCCTTCGGCTCAGGTCGTGATCCTGGAGTCCCGGGATCGAGTCCCACATCGGGCTCCCCGCTTGGCGAGGAGCCTGCTTCTCCCTCTGACCCTCCCCCCTCTCATGTACTCTCTCTCATTCTTGCTCTCTCAAATAAATAAATAAATCGTTTAAAAAAAAAATCTACTTATTTTCTAGCATCTCATACTTCATTGAGCCTGAAGATTGTTCTCTTTAATATTACATGTGGAATCATAAATTTTTAATATTTATAGTGAAAGGTCAGGCTATTTTTAGCCATTTTTAGTAATTGCAAAGTATGGCCAGAAAAATAATGGCTGAATATGTCTTTAAAGTAGATGTTTTCACATTCTTCTTGGCATGTGTTAGGAAAGAAAAGACAAATAAAAAAATATAAATGAACCACCCACCTTGCCCTCCTGCCCCTTCCTTTTGCTCTTGTTTGTGTATAATTGACTCCAGCAGAACCATGTGGCAGGAGCCCGGTATAGCTTGAGCCAAATTCCCTCTCTGAATCAGGGCACATCTTTGAAAGTTATCTCTGTATTTTGGTGTTAACGTATAGCACCCTATGTCCTTGGTTTGTTTCTGAGTCTTCTAGCAGCGTTGGCTGAAGCCCAAGCTGAATCCCCTTTTTAATGAACTCTTACCTAAAAATGGGTGACTGATTTTACAAGAACACCATGGTTTTCTTCTTTTCTTTCTTTTTTTTTTTTTTTAAGATTTTATTTATTTATTTGACAGAGAGAGAGAGAGAACAAGTAGGCAGAGAGGCAGGCAGAGGGAGAGGGAGAGGGAGAAGTAGGCTCCCCGCTGAGCAGGGAGCCCGATGCGGGGCTTGATCCCAGGACCCTGGGATCATGACCTGAGCAGAAGGCAGTGGCTTAACCGACTGAGCCACCCAGGTGCCCGAACACCATGGTTTTCTAATATGATGCCAGTTTTGGTTAAGTTTAGGTAAAGGCATGAAATGGGGGATGCAGCATTTTCTGCGAACCTCTAGGGAACGTGGCCTGAGCTCACCAAGTCTGCGCTTTATTAACGCATCAGGCGTTGGGGGGTGAGGGCTGTTGTTCTGTCTGTCCACGATGCTCTGAACTTTGTGTTATGATGTGAGTTGCCGGCCACGGTGCGTAGGCTAGAAGCACCCAAGAAGATATACCCAGACGTGTACACATCTTCCCATTAAAAACAGATTTCTAGTATCCACATACTTGCCCAGTGCACACATCTCCACTCCTACCCTGACCCCAAGCACACTGAGGAAAAGGGGGAGAAACGGAGAATCTGAGCACTTCTGAGATGCTTGGAGTTTCACGGGGAGTGGGACATCACCTGAGGTGACCCAGGTTTTCTATAGGCTTGAATTTGAGAAACACGGCTGGCTCTCGTGAATAACGCTTTAGTGAGTGGGAACTTAGTCTCTCTGGTAGTGGTTGTGTGTTCCTGTCTGCCCTCGTTTGGGCTACGCCCGGTCTCCTTGGGAAGTTGCTCCCTGTAACTGGGTTTGCCATCCGCGAGGGGAAGGCAGTTGCCAACGTCAGAGTATGCTGTGGGGCTGTGGCCATGTGGAGCCCAGGACCTGGGTGAGGTCCTCACCGCAATCCCAGGGAAAGACACTGGGGAAGCCCGCGTTTCCAAGTGGGGGAAGCTGATGAGTAAGAGCACTCGGGTACTCTTTCAGCATCAAAGAAACGGGTATTTCTTGGCTTCTTTCTAGTTTCCTCTAGATGTATCCCAATTAACATCGATCTATTTTGGGGGGTGGAGCCAAGTAGTAATGTAGAAAGTTAACAGAGTAACACAGGACATGTTTTCTCTCTTGTTAGCATTTGTAATAAAATTTTTTTAAAAACCAGGAGGTATAGTTTAGCTGTCTTCAATGATCTCTGAAATTCTCTGACACATTTTCTGTGTCAATGCCTCTTTCTGGGGAAAGGTTTTTTGCTTTTGTTGGGTGGTTACCTGTAATGTGTTACGGACTGCATTAGATACCAAATGCCACGTCCACACGGTACGTGGGTTCCCACCCATGGGTGCTGGATGACTGCTGTTTGAATCATGGCTTTTGTTAGGGAAACAGACTTTGAAGCAGAACTCGATCTTTACATCTTAGCGTGGGTGTTTGACTTTTTGAGGCCAAAGTGTTTCCTTTGGGGGTAGAATCAGGTGGAACGCAGGGAACTTCATCTCTACTTTGTTTTGTTTGGCGGTTTGTTTTTCAGAGACCCACCGCTAAGGAGTTACTGAAGCACAAGTTTATAATACGCAATGCAAAGAAAACATCCTACTTGACTGAGCTCATCGACAGGTACAAGAGATGGAAGGCCGAGCAGAGCCACGAAGACTCCGGCTCTGAAGACTCAGACACGTAAGTCTGCTCCACCTGGGCGTGCAGGACAGGTGTGACCTGGGCCGGGCCCCCGTGGGCGGGCGGGCGGCCTGGGAGCCCTGTGCATGGGTCATGTTCGCGTTTGTTCTCTCTTATTTGGGGTGCGGTTTTTTGTTGTTACTTCTGGATTTCTTTGTTAATTTGTTTTTAGATAATCCAGGTTGATGGTGATTTTTATGTCAGTATGGGACAATTTGGGGGCCTTTTTAGCCTCTTTTTGTTGCTAGTGGAGCCTCCAAGAAAAATCTTTGTGGTGGAACGGTCCATAAAGAACTAGACCTGGTCTCCTTTTCCTTTTCTTTCTCTTGCCTTAAAATATCGGTCAGATGTAACGGCTTTAAATGTATTTTTTTTTAACTCCACAAATGCATGTTTTTGCGATTCTGGGTTGTGCTGGGGTTGATGCTGGGGTCGTAACAGAACAGTGACAGAAGTTACTTGCTAAAAACTGGTATCAAGTTAAGCATTTTGGAATTCAGTCAGCCAAAGAGATGGATGAGGTCTCGGAGCCGCTTTGGCGTGTGGGGGTGGGGAAAGCGGGGCCACCTGCTCTGACGTGGAGGATGGTGTCACGACTAGAAGTGTTCCGATCCGTGTAGCACCTCTCCTGTTCTCTCCTTCACACTCAGCTAGAAGTCCAAGTCAACCACCAGCCTAGGTCTACACGCCAGGCTGGTTGAATCAGAATTTCTGGGGCTGAGGCCTAAGTGTTTCGGGGTCCCCAGGAACCAAGAGTGAGATCGTGACATGGAGAGATGAGGGTGCTGGCAGTGCGGACGAAAGATGCACAGGCAGCCTGGCGAGGCAGCTGGCCAGGGCGGGGAGGAGGCTGGGGCTCGGGAGGCTGAGTTTGGGGTGGGACATGTTTGAGTTGCGGACAAGACATCCGGGACGGGGTGAGTGGCACCGAGGTTTGCAGTTCAGGCGAGGCACGTGGGCAGCTGTTGGGGATTTCGGGTTGTCGTGCTGTAAACGGTCATTGGAGCCATGAGAATGAACACGGTCACCCAGAGCATCTCTGCAGAGTGCGAAGGACCGATGCCAGGAAATGCCAGCGTCGGGGATGGACCTGTGGACGGCCCAAGTCAGGGCCGATCTGGGTGCAGGGACTGGAGGGGGGAGGAGCAAGAACATCGAGCTCAGGGCTTAAGCGGCTGAAGGACTGCGCAGGAACCCCGTCCGGTGGCGTGCAGGGGGTCGGCGGCCGTGGTCGTAGCAGTTGCGGGGCCAGGGTTGGCTTCAGGGTGAGGGGAAGGTAGGCGGAGGCAGTGAGTGTGGTGGACACACCGAGAAACGAGACTGGGGCGATGGCTGTAGCTGGAGGGGCCATCGTGTTGTGGGAGCAAAAGGGACGCATGTCGGAGTGTTGAGGGGAAGGAGCCTAAGGGGAGGAGAGATGACATCTGAGAGCAAGGCCATCAGTGGAGTGGAGGACGGTCGTGGGTCCTGGACGGTGGGGTGGGGCCGCTGGATGCTGGCGCCGGGGGACGTTAGGGAGCCTCACAGTGATGGTGCCAGGGGCAGGGTCCCTCTGAACACCCGAGAGGGACTGGAGGGGGTGATGGGTGGGCAACGGGGTGGGAGGTAGGTGTGGGGTGTAGGGGTGGCCGGGCAGGCCTGCGGAGTGCAGGTCTCCTCGGGCACAGGGCTGTGCGCTCGCTCACGGACTTCGCCTGATTTCTCTCCAAAGGGAAACGGATACGGACAGCCAGGCCTCTGGAGGCAGCGACTCTGGGGACTGGATCTTCACTATCCGAGAGAAAGATCCAAAGAGTCTTGAGAATGGAGCTCTTCAGCCTTCAGACTTAGAAAGAAATAAGGTAACGCAGGCTCGTTCCTGTCATCCGTTGGTCCCCGGTCACTTGTGTGCAGAGCCTGCTGTTAGGGGGCGGGGCTCCCTTGGGCAGCCTGTTGTGGGATTTCGCTGTCCGGGACAGATGAGACGATCGGTCGTCTGATGATCCAGAGTTGGATCCGCGAATCTGGCCTCGGGTCTGTACCGCAGGGCTGCTTCCTGCTCTGCAGAGCCTGCCCCCTCCCCCCGTGGCATTGGCCTTTCCTGATGCTTGCACGTGGAGCGGGGGAGACCTCACCCATGAGGTGACATTCAGTCTCTCTGGACAGAACTCTGTCTGTCTTATATATTGGGGTTACTCATAAAAGATACCAGAATTTTGGGATTAAGTTTTTGTTTAAGGATCTTAAAAGCAAATGTAGTACCTTTGGTACTTACATGGAACTTTATTTTGATTAATTGGTTTTATGCCTATTTAAGTTTATGAAAAAGAGTCGCTTTAAAACACCGTGGTATAGTTTCTCTCAGGCAGCGTGGACCAGTGGCTGTCCCCTGGTGATCCTGTAAGTCTTGCTTTGATAGGCAGATGGGAGTCATTACAGAGATTGCAAAAGTAGAAAGTAGGCCCCTGTCCTATCATAGTCTCTTGCAACGGCCAGCTTCGAGCTGATTCCATTTCCAGAGTTTCGGTAGTCAAGTCCTGCTACACAGACTGCACAGGGGTGCAATTCGGCATCACCTGCACCCACACAAGGGCCACTCCCGGGACCTCTTGGGCCTTGGCGCCTGGAGTCCAGACACTGGTTCGCCCAGCTGCATGAGTTTGGCACATCACTGCAAAGGAAACGGTGCAGGCTAGTGAAGGACCGTGAGACGGTCCCATTTAGTGATCACAGCAAATGGGCGGGCACCTGGCCGGCTCAGTCAGTGGGGCATCGACTCGTGATCTCGGGGTTGTGAGTTCAAGTCCCATGCTGGGTGTAGAGAGTACTTAGAACAATAAAATCTTAAAAAAAAGAAAAGATATCACAGCAAATAGAGAGCATTTCAGACTTTACGTTAGCTAGCATGGTGCATGTCTGAAGTTGCCTGAATTGTTGCAATGTGAATATTAAATACTTCTGATTTCCTTTTTTTTCTTCCTTAAGATGAAAGACATCCCAAAGAGGCCTTTCTCTCAGTGTTTATCTACAATTATTTCTCCTCTGTTTGCAGAGGTAAGATACCCAGTTGACTGTGGGGGGGCGGGGCATGATAGGGACATAGTGGGCGGCAGGGTCTTCTTTCTGTGACATGTGGCAGTCGAATTGGGGAGGTTAGAACACGCCGGCTCGGGTAGTTGGAGAGCCGGCGTCATGGTCCCGCGAGGCCAGCTGGGAGCGGGCACTGCCTTCCTGGTGCCCCTCGTGCTCCCCCGGGCACCGTTTGCTGCCCAGCCCCTCCCGGGAAAGGGCTTTGTGTCGCCTCCTTGAGTGCACGGGCCCCGCCCAAGTCCGCCTGTCATCAGGGTGATTTTGAGCTTCCGTTGTACTGCTTTCTACAAAATCCGTTTGGGTGCAGCGTGATTGCTTTGTCTCAGACAAATTTATGCCAGTGTAAAAAGTAGAACTTTATTTTAAAAGAGAAGTCGGATTCTCTGGAGACCTTCTTTGCCCCGTTGTGCCCCCAAAGTTCACCGTAATCCCAGAGAAGACCCCTTACCAGAGGGCCACCTGGTTCGCAGGTGAGCAGCCTAGGTCACTTGTCATCCGTGTCACCCACGTGCTGGTCCGCCGCTCCTCCTCGGGGGAGCCCGCCCTGCCTCCTGGAGGTCCACTAGGCCTGCTGCATTGTGCGATGTTGGCGAGAATAAATGGTATGAGAATGAAGATTATTCTTCGGTTTGTAGGTGATTTAAAGAGCAGTTGGAGATACCCCCCCCTTTTTTTTGAGCCCGCCCCCAGTCTGCCTTCAAGGTAATTGAGAATGAGCCACACTAGTCCCTTCTGTTTGTGTGGTGACTCGAGCTCTCCAGGGGAGGGGCTGTCTCAGGGGATCCTCCTGTCTGAGGTCGGTGGTCCCAGGTGGGAGGTGCCACACAGGCCCCGCCCCCTGGCTCCAAGGGGCCCGAACCTCGGTCTGCCCTTCAGCAGCGCCCCGGGCTGTCCAGGCCGGCTTCATCTGGCTCTCGGTCCTCCCCCTGCCCGCCTCGGCCCTCATGAGCTAGCCTGAGGGCCCTGCCTTCCCAGCTGGCGGCCGGGGCCACGCTGGAGCCCGGGGTGTGGAGTTGAAGCCCGAGCACGTGGCTTTGTGATGGAAACGGAATGGCGGGTGGGGGGTCCTCTGTGTGGCTCCCTGCTGTTTCCGGGGACCTGCTCTCTTCCTCTCCTGTCCATAAGACACTGTCCTGCTTTTTATTATGTTGTTTGGGAGAGTGGTCCTTCGGGTTTTGGGGATGCTCCCTTGCTTTCCTGTAATCCTGCCACGGGCGCTCCACGAGGATCAGTCGGGCCATTAGGGGAAAATGACATAGATATTTCTTACTTTTCTGAAGCTCTGTGTTTTTTACTGGGCATATGAAGAAGCTGTGCCGAAATCGTTACTTGGAATTAGTGAATTAATTCTCAGCGTGATACTGTTCTGAACTCCCGGGCGGCTTTGCTTACATGTTTTTTTTTTGTTTTTAAAGATTTTATTTATTTATTTGAGAGAGAGAGAGAATGAGGAGCATGAGAGGGAGGAGGGTCAGAGGGAGAAGCAGACCCCCGCCGAGCAGGGAGCCCGATGCGGGACTCGATCCCGGGACTCCAGGATCATGACCTGAGCCGAAGGCAGTTGCTTAACCAACTGAGCCACCCAGGCGCCCCTGCTTACATGTTTTTATCGGTAGTGCTCCATAGTCGCGTGTTTGACGTGTCCGGTGTACATCATTTTATGTAATTCTGATAAAGCTCACTAATAAAGGATCTTTGTCCCCGTGTCTGCACGTGAGGCTGTTCCTGACACCGGAGCGTGCGTGCGGGTGGCTCCCTCCCTCTCGGCTGATAGAGCCCCTCCAGCAGCGCTTTGGGCAGGGGAGCCTGGGGGGCTCGCAGGGCAGGGCGGGCGGGGGAGGGCCACCGTTGTAGGAAACTGGGGAGGCAGAGGTCAGGCACTCAGGACTTGTGAACACTGCTCTAGTTGGTTAGGTGATCGGGAGTCCTAGGTGGGCGCGGGTGGCCCCTTGCTGGTCCACCGCGGCAGAGTCCGTGACAGGGAGGGGCGTAAGGTGTGGTCGCCGGCGTGTGCCGCCCTCCTGGTCCTCCGTGTCCCTCTTGTGGGGGGAAGGGGGAAGCACGGTCAGGATGGGGCCGATGCTGGCGGGGATGTGTTCACAGCTGGAAAAGCCAGAGCCAAATGTGAACCATTTCCTAAAGGCCTAACGAATGCCCTTTCCACACAGTGTCCCCACCAGGACTCACGCGCCCGGGGTGGCAGTGGGGGTCACACATCGCGTCCCTCCTTAAAGGAGGTGCCCCCCGATTCCTGTGCCTGTGTGGGTCATGCTGTTCTGCACGTTTGTGTGTTTGCAGCTGAAGGAGAAGAGCCAGGCGTGCGGAGGTAACATGGGCTCCATAGAGGAGCTGCGAGGGGCCATCTACCTGGCGGAAGAGGCCTGCCCGGGGATCTCGGACACCATGGTGGCCCAGCTCATCCAGCGGCTGCAGAGGTAAATGCCCTGTTTGCCCCCTGCCTTTCCCAGTCCTTGCTCGGTCGGTCGCTTTGGCGTTTTGCTCCTGGGCTCTGGCTGTTTGCTTCCTGGGCACACGGTTGAAGCAGAATCAAGTCAGAGAAGACTTCAGTTCTGAGTTCTAAAGATCACCGCGAGGGAATGCTAGGAGTCCAGAAACCACGGGGGAGGACCACAGACTTGGTGCGCTTGGAGCTCTTGTCATGTGATGAATACCGGGACCTTAAGACCCCTGTCTGCTCCTGGTGATGCCGCCTGACCCCACCGAGAGGGGAGCTCCCCCACCCACTCAGGCTTGTTCCAGGAGTCCCCTGGGGAGGTCGCTCCGACTGCCAGGACTGAAGGGAGTCCTCGGGGGGTGTTACAGAGAGGAGGTGTGCTGTGACCCGAGCTCTGCTCCACACCCCCGAACCTTCATCGCTCCCCAAGAAGCCAGCCGTGTCATTGCTTTGAAATTCACCCTCCAGGTGAATTGTCCAGTCTGTTCCAAAGACCTGCTGAGCCTTGATGAGAGTGAGGAGCATTTCAGGTCTTCCCAGAGACGCTGGCTTGACAACATGGAGAGAAGCTAGGGGCGCGTTGGGTGCTTTTGCACCTTGGAAGTGATGATCGAAGGGGCTGCCCTCTGGCCTGTGAAGCGTCCCGATGAAGTGGGACATGGGGGTAAAACCTCGCTGTGGCGCTGAGGGGCCCCCCCCCAGGCTCGGGGGCAAACGCCGTCCCGGCTCGCCCTCCCGCCCTCTGCCGGCCACATGGTAGAGCCCATTGACTTGGCTGCCTTCACTTCGGTGCAAGCGAAGGGACCCGCTCTACTCGTTGGCTTTACCCCCCTCTCAACTGTCGCTACTCACGCATGACAGGCATAAAGGAAAACAGAAGTCAAGTCCCCGGGATGCTCACCCCCACACAGCCGTGCCGGAGTTTGTGTGTGTCCGTCGGGCTGACGTCCCTCACGCAGCACCGCTCAGTGTCCCTGTTCATCCTGGGACGTGATCCTTGTTACCACGGAGGCTTCCCCCCCGGTACCGACGAGCAACTTAACGGTCCGTTGGCCTCCTTTCTCAAAGCAGCGCACAGTCCAGTTGCGATACGCAGAGCGCCCCAGAACTGGTGGTGCCGTGATGGTCTCGCTGTGCGCTTGGTTTTCTGCTTGCGTAGCGCCACTTAGGACGGATGCCCACCCTGTCCCGAGTTGGCCGAGCTGCTCAGAGTGACACGCGTCCCCGACTCGATCGCCCCGCAGCTCCGGGGCATGGAGGGCAAGGGCGCGGCCGGGGGTTAGGTGTCCCCTCTCCTCCCGCCCCGTGGCGCCCGACACAGCTGGTCCGGCAGCCAGTGTGGGCCACACCACACGGTTTGGAGCTTTCTAGTTTCCTCCTGGGAAAGTAGTAAAAGAGGAGCAAGTGAAATTAGTCTCCATAATACGCTGCGGAACCCACTGCGTCCCAGGTCTTTGCTCATGTCAGCAGCGTAAACCGCTGTCAGTGGGGTATTTCCCGTACGTTTCAGCAGCACGTCCTTGCGATCCGGTGTGTGTTTCACGCTCAGCACGTCTCCGTGTGAACCCGCCGCATCTCTGGACCTCGGCAGATACAGCCCCGCTGCCCGCGTCATGTCGGACGTCGTACTTTCCAGTGATGCGCTAGGACGTGCCGAGTCCACATTCTTCTCGTCTCCAGACCATTCTGTCTTCTCTTTGCTCTGTGCTGTGTAGACCTGCTCCGGGGGGTCCTCCACGGGTCCCTGCAGGCCTTAGCTGGTGCCGTGCGTCCACTCCTGTGAGGCTCCCAGGCGGTACTGAGTCGCTTCCGCCCTTGTAGGTGGATCACAGGGGGCCTGACCTGAGCCCAGATCAAGCCGGCTGTGCCAGCCAGGCCCTCCCCCCATATAATTACAGTTTTTAGTGCGTTTCTCGTTCGGTTTGCTTAATTTATTCAACCCTTGCTTTGCTCTGGACATCAGAGTTGTTCCCCAATCTTTACAATGACAGAAAACCCCGAGAGACCTCTTCGTGCCGCACACATTGCTCCTTCTCTGGACCACGTTTCTGAGACAGCGCTCGGGAGGGGATCACTTGCACAAGCAGCCGTATTTTGGGGGCCAGTGGGGGTCTCCTGGGCTGAAAGGCAGTCAGCCGTGTGTGCGCCCCTGGGATCTCACGGCGTCATCGGGTGCTGCTGATTTTGTGGTTTTTACAAGTGGACTGTAAGCGGAGCTGTACCATTTATTGTTCCAGGCGCATCTTTCTTTTCTCCTGAGAGACTGAACACGCTCTCGCTCGTTAACGTACTAGTTCTTCCACTGAGTTTAACTGGTCTGTGAGAAGTGGTGTCACAATCATGATTTTCTTAGTTTTTATGAATTCTTTGTATACTAATTAACCCACTGGTATTTGCACCACCTGTGTTATGACTGGGGATTGTCTAGTAAACTAGGATTTCGGCGCTGGTTTGACTTTCTGGGGGGGGTTGTTCCAGAAATGACGTGCATTCACTTCGTTTCTCTTGTTTTTTTCTTTCCCTAGATACTCTCTAAGTGGTGGAGGAACTTCAACCCACTGAAATTCCTTTGGCATTTGGGGTTTTGTTTTTTTTTCTTCTTCCTCCTCCTCCTCCTCCGAAAACGTCCACGAGAGCCTTTGCTGACCCCGCTGCCGCGGTGTGCCATCCAGGGGCCCCCCCGCCCCCCCCGCACCGCCCCCCCGGCCCCGGGGCGTGCGGCCCTCCCTCGCCGGCCTCCGCCGGACGGACACGCTCAGCGGGGTGGGGAGGGTCGGCTCCTGCAAGCGATCATTTTATTTTCTTGTTCTTGTTTTTTAATTTTAGCCATTGTGCACATATCAAGGAAAGTGTCTTTAAAAACAAAAACAAACCCTGAAATGTATATTTGGGATCAGGACAAGGCAACTGAAGAAATGAAATCTCAGGTACCCTGCTTTAAGTGGGTGACTCCCCCCCCCGCGGGAGACGGAGAATCGCTCTGGTGGGTCAGTGTACAGATTTGTATATAGTGTCATTTTTACGGAAACCCTTTTGGCGTGCATAAGGAATCACTGTGTACAAATTGGCCACGTGCTTCTGTAGATAATGTCAGTGGAGTAAATATTTGACAGGCCATAACTTGAGTCTATTGCCTTGCCTTTATTACATGTAAATTTTGAATTCTGTGATCAGTGATTTGGGTTTTATTTTGTATTTGCAGGGTTTGCCGTTAATACTCCTTCATGCCCCTCTTACGGAACACTCCTCTTTGTCCCTCCGCAAATGCCCGTCCCCCTCTTGTTTGCCCGGCGGCCCTTTGGGTACACGCACAGGTTGATTTCCTTTCATTTGATGGTACTATTTCTTAGTGTTTTGAATTGGAACATATCTTGCCTCATGAAGCTTTAAATTATTATTTTAAGTTTCTCCCCGATGAAGTGCTCTCGTCTTAACGTTTGTTTGGAATCGTACCACTGCTGGCCCCACGCCCGCCTCCCGTCCTTCCCAGTAGGACTCCTGTCGTGCTCGTAGTGAAACCCGCGTGTCATCTTGCCCACCTAAAAATGTCTGAATGCTTACACGAATAAATTTTATAACACACTTACTTTGCATACTTTTCCTTGAAACGTGACTCTTCAGGGGGCAGCATACATGGTGTGTGTGTGTGTGTGTGTGTGAGAGAGAGAGAGAGAGAGAGAGAGAAGGTGAGACATTCGGCACTTCCAGAAGTACCCACGTTCAAAATGCCCAGTGTCCGGGTCAACTCCCTGTGCAACTTTCAAAATGGAAAATGTGGCTGCATACTGCTGATTTGTGAAGTTGTGCTCTCTTCCCAGGGAACTTGACTGAGGGTGGCTTTGTTAAAGAAGCCCGGGGCTGCTCTCTGTCAGCTGGGGTCTGTGTGTCTCCTGGCCTGTGGCAGGGCCTTGCTGGCCCGGGGAGGCAGGAGGAGTCCTTTCTCTGGGGTCAGAGCGAAGAGTTCCTGCGGCAGTCCCTGACTAAGTACATGGGGCGTCGTGTTCTGTTTGTTGATCCGGATCATTGTCCTCGCTTGTTGGTGTAGCAGTTCCTGGAGGGGAAGACAAAGGATTTTTGGAAGCAAGGAAGTTACTGGGTAAACTTTGGGATGGAAGGTTCGATCGATATCTGCCGCCCCAGTGGCCTGGGTTACAGGGAAGAGGACAAAGGCCCAGAGCCAGAGAGATTCAAGTGTGTGTGTCTTGTTTAGATTTGTTAATGGAGCGTCGTTTTTTTTTTTTTTTTAAAGCCTAAAATTAAGTCATGATTTTTTTTTTTATTAGAAGCTGACGGATTAATTTCTATAAGGGATACGTTTTGATTAGGGGAAATAGAACCAAATTGCTGATTCTTATGTTGTGTGTTCTTTGGCAGCAGGGATGTTAACTTGGATGATAAAAACTTGAGGATGTTTCATTCGGTGTTTCTACCAAGTATTTTGTATGAGGGAGTGGTTTGTTTCTCTGTGCGAGGCACAAGCCCAAGGTCAGTTTTGTTCGTTGCGGGAGAATCCCATGAAGCAATGATGCAGAGGGCTCTGCTTGTCCGATTTTCAGCCAGCCGGTGTAGACAGCAGCTTTCTTAGAGTTGTGCACCTTTGCACGTGGACGGTGACCTCAAGAAGACATGCTGAAGCCGGTCTCCAGTGCGAGGAACAGGCACACTGGCGGGGACTGGGGTCTGATGAGGCATATTGGCGCGATGGTTACCCAGAGTCTGCAGCCCCTGGACGGTCAGCACAGCGCCACCTCCCGGGGAAAGCAGCGGATCATCCTTTCTGAGCTTACGTGGGCATCTTCCGTCGATTAAGCTTCCCCGGGGGAAGAAGTGGTTTGAGTAGCTTTGGAAAGTGGATCTCTTCCCGGGTCTTGTCTGGCCTGCCGCTTTCTGTGGACACGCAAGCCGGGGTCTGGTTTCCGAGGGCACGTGGGCTGGGGGCCGCTTCATGAGCCAGGGAGGCTGGCCGTGGCGTAGCCCCGCCTGCACGGAGCTCCGGCGGAAGCTGCCGCTGCGCAGCCAGACCTGCAAGGCCGGCATCTGGGATGCGTTCGCGGGCGCCTGGAAGCCTCCTGATGCCCCCGCTCCCCCCGCTCCCCGGAGCTTCCCCGCTCAGACCGGAGAAGGCGGTGGTGCACCCGGCCTTGGCAGAGGCTTCCGTGGACACGGAGGCAGTGGGCTGTGTCTGGCTGGGTCTTTAGGCCTTCTAGAAATTCTCTCCTGCGTCCTAGCCGGCTGCACAAGCGAGTGGCTGCCGGTGGGGTTTGGGTGCCTCGGCATTTGAGAGCTGGCCTTGTGCTGTCGTGACGTGACCACGTGGCACACGCCTTCTGAACCCGACAATGTTGTCATCGGGTTGGTCTTGTGAAGAAGCATCTAGTGCAGTTCTTCATGTAGCATTTTGTACCTTTCTTTTGGCAAAATACGGTCCATTTATAAGCGTTTTTCTGTTTCTGCTATCAAATACGGGTGCTGTGTCAGGCAGGGACCAATAAAGTTCCCAGAAAACCATTTCTGTAATTCGGTCTCGTGTGTAGGAGGAGTAGGCTGTTCCCCCCACCCCCCACCCTCAAATGTATACATTAAAATCCTAACCCCCAGTGGGATGGTACTGAGAGGTGATGAGGTCGGGAGTGATGGGATTAGGAACTTTCTAGGAGGCTCCCCTCCCCCCCGAGACCCTCCCCCCTTCAGGCTTGTGAGGACACAGCAAGACAATGGACTGTGACCCGGGAAGGCTCTCGCCAGACACCAGATGTGCCAGCGTCTTGATCTTGCACCTTCCTGCCTCCAGAACTGTGAGATACGTTTCTGGCACTTGTTACGGTTGCCCGAACGGACTGAGACACTGGGTGTCTCCAAAACTCCCACTCGGTTCCCGGCAGCTTGGACGCGGTCTCCGTCGCCCACGTGGTTTGCACTTCGAAGTCACGGGGGGACCGCAGAGGTGCGAAGCACCACGAGCACGGACATGGTTCGGACTCACTCGGGAGGCGAACTAGACCCCCTCATCCCCGAGCCTTGTAGAATTCAGTGACTGGTGGTTTCTGGGGGAGAATTTTCCGGAGACTGCCTTTGTCCCATCAGCTGCCCCCTGCGCTCACCCTCCCAGGAGTTGGTCCTGCGGCTGGGGTGTGGGACAAGCCTCTGGGAAATAGCTGGATGTGGAAGGTAGTCCCCCTCCCTGTCTTTGCTTTCATCCCTCGGGTTTTAGTCCTTTTATAGCACGGACAGGCTCCCGGCAAGGTTCTGCCTCCCCGGTTCCACGTTGTGGGTGTCTCGCGTGGCTGAGTCTGCTCATCGTCCCGTGTCCCCCCCCCCCCCCCCCCCCCCGGACCAGCCACGTCCACCCCTGGGCAGTTCCATCCCTGCAACCTGCCCGCGTCCGACGGAAATAAAGACCAGACAAGGTGGGTGATGTTTTCCCTTAAAACTTCAATATGCTGGATTGCGGCGTGAGGTATTTTTATTCCCTTTTGTTAGTACCTGAAACCATCTGGTACACGTCGTAAGGCAAACGATAACGACCGCATCTTGAGCTCCTCGTCCGTGGGTCCAGGTCCGGCTCCGCCGCGCCGGCCCGCGGGGCTGGGGTGCAGGCGCCGGGGGCCGCCCCCTCCGGGCTGTGTCAGAAGGGGGTTCAGGACACTAGGGACTAGCAGCCACCCGGTCTCCGCAGAGAAGAGGCAAACGGATTTTGACTAGCGGGCCCAGCAGGTCCTGGAGCCCTGTTCCCTGTGCAGTCCGACTGTCACGGATGCGCAAGGTCACTGTTGATAACCCCATGCCTGGGGGGAGGGGGGATGAGTACAAACAGGAGAAAAGAATGTTCTTGGAGACGGGCACGATATACACTACTACCGAATGTGCAGTCCCCAACCCCAGTCGCGGGATACGGGTACGAGCATGGGGGCAGCTCCCAGAGACCCTCCGAGCGTCACAGACCACAAATGGCCCTGGTCACTGACACCCAGGTCCTCATGCTTGGGAGACAGACCACGAACAGCACAGCTGAGCTCCCACCGCACACACCGCTCCTAGGACGGCGGCAGCGCGGGCCCCGGGCCGATCGCTGCTCGCACGGACGACGCCCGCCACGCTTCGCCGAGAGGAGTCACGCAGACGGTTGGTCCGCTCGCGCCGGGAGCAGCGTCTCGGCGGAGCCTGGCGCCCCGAGGGGAACGCACGCGGTGAGCTGCAGACTGCCTGTGGTGCTCAAAGAAGGACGTCCTACTAACCTGCTATTGTTATAAAAGTAGAAAGACTGAAAAACCGAAATCTGAAAATGATCTCATTTGCTTAAGACTCTGCCACGTGTATCACAAACATTGGAAAACTTTTTTTTTTTTTTAAACGCACCAGCCTAGAAATCAAAATAAAAGTTTTGTTTTTTTTTTTTTAAGACACTTGCCCTGTCTTTCGGCTGAACGGATATGGTCGTACTGCTTTTAAGGTGCAGCTGCGGAAGAAAAACGGTCATGTGGCGCGCTCTTAGTGACAAGGCTTTAATACCGGCCCGAGCTGGAGACAGCCCACCGGGAGGACGACAGACGCGGGGCCCCCCCTCCCCCCGGGAGCACCGTTCCGCTCGGAGAGACCAGGGTAAACGCGGTGTCGTGGAGACCGAGGAGAGCTGCTGTACGACCACGCTCCGGGGTTCCAGACGGGTGTTAATTTTACTAGGCTTCGTTAATACAGGGCACACGCAGGGTCTCCCAGGGACGCAGCCACGGCCGAGCCCCGCGACACTCGTGTCCTGCCCTCAGTAGACGTGAGACTCTTTGTGACTCGGGATGTGGGCGCGGGAGGCGGAGCTGGTCGCACTGCGGATCACCTCCATCCACCTGAGGCCAGAGAACGAGAGGAGGGTCAAGCGCCACGTTCTAGAAACCTGCGCAGGATTTTTTTCTTCACGATACTCGACACACCTCACTACTTACAAAACACAGCACGGCGGTATTTGTAACGTGCTTAGTTTAGCAGAAGGGTTCTCGAAGGAGCTCCCGGTACCCGAGAACACGAAAGCAAGGCTAAGGGTTCCTCGAGGTGTGCCTGAGGACCGGTTTGAGAACCACGGGCCTGGGTGCTCCCGTTGCAGAGCCGCAGAAGCGCCCCGGACGGAGGGGTCCTGCCTGGCTGAGGCCTCCCAATCCCTGCGGGCCCGGGCCCCGCAGCCTGTTCCCACATTTGAGTATTTGCGGTACGTGGGTGGCTCTCAACCCCAGGGACGAGGGCTGGAGGCATTTCCGGGTGTCACAAGGAGGGGGCGCCCGTGACCTTTAGTGGGTGGGGGGTGCTCCCCATCTTCTCATGGCCAGGCCTCCCCCCTCCTCCAAAGAATTAAACGGTCTCCAAGGTCAGCAGTGCCGAGGGTGAGAAACGGGGAGTAGAGCTTTTGAGAAATTCATCCCTGGCCTGTTGAGGGTCTTGTCACTACGAGGCTCAACTGTCCTTGCTACCCCAGTGACACCGTCCCACCTCTGTCCAGGGCTCCCCGGCCCGGCTCAGATCTGGGAGGGCTTATCCCCTGGGCTCACTTTTCAAGCAGTTACTAGGAAGTGCTGTGGGGGGGGGGGGGGGGGCGGCGCT